AACCGATTAGGGAATGAGCTACTACATCTACTTTTAGTGTGCGATCTCAGCGGCATGTGCATGTTCTACGTTCTACGTTCTACGTTCTAATTTCTACGTTCTACGTTCTAATTTCTACGTTCTACTTTCTCTTCGCGTGGAGTGTTTTTTTCACGTTCTACGATTTAGAACCTACAACCCTCTGGGTACGTCTCCTCGGGACCGGGCCCCGAACTCGGCACTCCAGTCCTCGTTGCCTCGGGGCCGGGCGCCGAGCCCGGCGCTCCAGTCCTCATTGCTTCCGCCACCGCCGCTCCAACGGCAGCAGCGATCTGCTGACGAATCTCTTCTGAGAGGCCATCGCGCGCCCCAGGGGATGCACTGCGAGACATGCCGTGGATCTGTCAACTCACGCTCCGCTGCCAACTGTCGAAACAATGCTATGCAACATGAAGATGTGCAACCTGTTTCTGCGCGCAGCGTGCCACGCGACTCAAGGGCCCCCCGTGCCGAAATTGCCATGGATGCAAGCATGGAGGCAGCAGCAGTGGGAAGAGGAGCACGAGGCCAAGAGGGGGAAAGACAATAGGATTGCAATGCTACTCCACATCCGCCACCGCGATGGGCTTGCCCCCGTCGCTGTGGAGGCCGGCGAAGGTCGCCCCCAACGCGAGAGCGACCTTGTCGGGGACCTGGAAGTGCAGGGGTGCCTGCCGTCCAGGATGAGCCGCAGCTTACCCGACTTCTTGTAGAAACGATAAAAACACCTACGCTACAACACTTGTCGTTGTAAAAATCGAGAAGATTCCGACGCTCGAGGATCTGCAGCAGCCGGACATACAGCTCGGGGCCCCTCAGCGCCGGGTCGGTGCAGGAGCTTCCGGGGGCCTCGGACCCGATCCGAGCTCGACCCTCAGACTGGGGCAACATCATATCATGAAGCCGCTCGACTATCCTGCGGCGAGCATTTCTTCCCAGCGCGTCAAGCGGCACTGGCTTGAAGCCCTCGTCCAGAAGAGAGAGGCTGTTGATATTATCAAAGTCGAGCGGAGCGACGGTGGCGCTCTCGCCAGCATAGTCGCCGAGAACTCGGAGCTCCTCAAGGGCTCCTGAGCCAGTCAACCCCTCCGGGGGAGCGCCGAACCGTCGGGCTGCGTCGCGCGCGTTGCCCAAGGCCCGCTGCTGGCCCGCTGCGATGGACTGAGGATGGCTGACGGGGTGCCAGGGCTGGCCAAGGCACAGCTCGTCGAGGGTCCGAACGATCTCGCCCCCCATCGAATTGGCGTGGCCCTTGCGGGAAACCCGGCGCGCCACCGAACGTGAACAAGCGATGCCATGCGCCTCCGAAGCTGCCCGACGATGTTGACTGGGCACTGGCAGTGGAAATAGATCATGCTGCCGCCCAGCACGATCGCCCGATGAGTACAACTCACCAGCAGGCGGCGGGCCACCGCCGCTGGGCCCCCCATCCGAAAACGCGCGCGCCGCCGGGGGGTAGCGGTACGCGTGGTCGTGCACTCGTCATGATCGCAAGGCCCGCTGCTCCTCGCGGGCCTTGCGAGCCTGCTTCAGCACCGAAGCGCCCCTCTCCACCTCCTCCGCCACGTGCTCGAGGAGCGGAGGGCAGATCATGCTCCCCCCATGGTCCCGACTGAGACCAGTGAAGTCGGCGCTCTCGTCGATGAGCCCGAAGCTCAGCAGGCCATGGCGTCCGCCGCCACGCCCACGGCCTCGGTTCTTCTTCTTGTCGCCCCCCACGCCGCCTCCGTCTCCGCCGGAGGACGCGCTGTGGTGAGGGTCCCGATCCATGACGTACACGTACTCAAACACTCAAACATCTGGCACTTCCTGAACATCTGCTCCGCCCCCGCCAGGTTCGGCAGGTCGAGGCCGTCCCAGCAGGCGAGGGTGTAGATGGCCCGCGTACTCGCCTCGTAATCGCTGACACCGTAGTCCTCAGTCGACAGCCCCAGGGGTGGAACTCCAGAACCTGAAATGATCGAGCGGCCCGCCCTGGCGGCGGTCTATGAACTTGCAGCGCCAGGAACGCGCGCGGGGGCCAGGGGTATCCAATCCACGAACGACTCCTCTGTGAAGCTGGTCAGCCGGGCGTCTGAGGCGGCCCCCCGCCCCGCGTAGGTCTGCGCGGGCTCGGAGATCGAACGGATGGCCACCCACGCCCCATCAGCCTGAGGCATCGAGCCGACGGCCCCACGGAGGTCCGAGCCGGCGAGCGGGATCACAACCGTCCCGCGCCGGCCCGCCGTGGTCGACTCGACCAGCACCCACGCAGCTGCCTCGACCGCCGGGGCCGCAGCCCCCGGTCCAGCCGCGGCCGCGCCGCCCGGGGCCGCTCCGCCTGCAGGGGGAGGCGCCGCCAGGGCGCCGGCGGGCAACGCCACTGGGGCGGCCAGCGCGGCGGCCGCTGGGGGCGCGGCGCCTGCGGCGGCTGGCGCGGCGCCTGCGGCGGCTGGCGCGGCGCCCGCGCCAGGGCCACCGTCCCCTGCAGGGCCGAAGGTCAGCGGCACGAGGAACGGCCCGCCGGGCGCAGGCAGCCGCAGGCGCTGGTGGTCGGCGACCAGGGCGGCGGTGCAGTAGTCCACCGCGGTCTGGTCAATCTGCTGCATCTCCAGCGCCGTGAGGTTCCGCCTGGACCTGTGAGAGTTGGCAGCACCAACGCCAGGCGGGAAGGTTGCACGATCTGATGTGAAACTCACAGCAATGATGTCTCTTCCCTGGCATGAGTAGTCCTCCTCATAGATGTCGGTGTCCACCGTACAGATGAGCACCATCCACTCAGTTACTCTCTCCAGTGGTGTCCGGACCCGCCGCCCTAAGACCAGACGCTGGTGCCACAATGGCTCTCCTTCGTAACGTACCCACGCCCACTGGAGCATCCCATGAGGCGCTGCTTCCGCTGGCCCCACGTTCTGCACGGCCAGCATTGCGTCGGCAGCACGTCAACCCGACACGGTTCCACGACAGGATGCCGTAGGTCAGCGCCAGGCCCAGCAGGAGGAACTCGTTCACCAGCACCACGGACCAGAAGGAGGAGGGCTGTCTCGGCTCACCGCTGCCCCCGCCGTTCGCCGAGGGCGTGGCGGGAGCGGGGGAGCCCCCTTGGCACGCCGGGCAGCCAGGGCACGGCGGACACACGCAGCTCGGTATGGCAGGACAGACGGGGACGTGGACGGACGGGCACCTTTGCAGGTTGCCGCCCCAGAGATATGCGAGCGCTCCCTGCCAAGCGTACTGGGCGGCAGGGAGCAGGTAATCCATTCGCACTGCCTTGGTACGAATTCTTGAGCCCAGAAACCCACGGAAACGATCTAACATCGACGGCCTGGACCCGTGACGGAATGAGGAAAGACATGCACGCATAGGATATATAGTTCACTTGCGGCATGCCCGAGTGTGATTCGCAAAGACCGCTCAAGTACATACCTTGTGTTGGGCGGCTACATCCAGCAGAGCACGATCTGCTGTTTCCATTCCTTGCTGCCCAAAGACGCCCTTCAAGCTTGCCCCTAGACGGCCCGATAACGGCCCAAGACGCCACGACGCCCCAAAGATGAACCCCAGCTGGCCAGGAGATCCGCAAGACGGCGCTATAGTGGCCCAAGGCGGCCCAAGAGGACTCCGAGACTGTCCCAAAAGGCCCCACGAGTCCCCCAGGACTGCCCCGCAGGAGCCCAGGAAGGCCCCCAGACGGCCCAACGAGACCTCCTCGGGAAGCGGAGACGACGGGAGTCACGTGCGACTGCCTCCTGGGCGATGCTCGAGAAGGGTCGCCACACGGAGTGCTTCGCGGGAACGGTGGCGCAGTTGGCGCACGCAGCAGGGGCATCAGCACCTCGCTGCAAGTCGAGGCGTGTGCCCAGGACCAAACTACTACGAATGGGAATGCTGAACGCACCCGACGAGTGCGAAAACGCGTTATTCGTGCTCAATCGCCGGCTCCGCAACTTTGCGCGAACCACTACAACTTACCTAGTATACCAACTCTATGGCCACCTGTCATGACTACTGCGGTGACGCCTTTGGAGATGATCGCCATTATCTCGCGAGAGTTGTCCCAGGAGGTCTCTGGTCGTGTCCTGAAGTCTGTGGCCCCAGAGGCCCCTGGAAGCGACTGAAGTCCCCCAAAACAAATGCCAAGGACGCCCCCTCCCGAAACGCTTGATCCCCCCAAACCACTTTTCGATCGCAGCAGAATCGCCGAGGCCAGCATGGGACAGCGGCAGTTGAGGGCGGGGGGAGAGAGAGAGAGAAAGAGAGAGAGAGAGAGAGAGAGAGCAGACACACACACACACACAAACACACAAACACACACACACACAAACACACACACACAGACACACACACGCACACACACACACACATCAACACATACAATTCGCCGGCCCAACGGGCCAGAGGCGTGCTAAGATCTCCGGTAACTCCTTAACAATATTTCTAGTTCGCGCTCGCGGGGCGGCCCCTGGGGGGCCCCGGATGAAAAATACCCCGGCCGATCCCCGGCTGATCCCCGGGCGATCCCCAGGGGGGAGGCTATTTTTTGCCACCCCTCACGAGGATCGTGGCCTCCGAGGGGGGGGCTGCCAACGAGTACCCCCCCTCCCGCCCCAAGGGAACCCCAAGAGCCCCAGGAGGGCCCAGGGGAGCCCAATACGCCGCCAAGGAGCCCCAAGACGCTCCCAAGAAGCCCCCAAGAAGCCCCCAAGACGGCCCCAAGAGGACCCAAATAGCGCTCCAGGGCCGGCAGAATGAGCGAAGCGATTAAATAACACACCACATTCATACATCCAAATTCGTATAGAAAGAGTTGTGATATATCTATATATATATAGAGAAAGAGAGAGAGAGAGAGAGAGAGAGAGAGAGAGAGAGAGAGAAACAACGAAAACAAGAGAAAGAGAAAGAGAGAGAGAGAGAGACGCGAGCGCGCGCTCGGGCGCGCCTGGCAGAGGATTCGGCAATCCCGCAGGCTCACGAGGAGCTCGGGCAGGATCTGCCGCCTATCACCCTAAAGACCTTGGTTCGGAGTGCGGGCACGGCGGCTCGAAGAAATCCGAAACTCGAGAAGGAGGAGCATAGGAGAAGGGAATAGGAGGGAGAAGGCGGAGCAGGATGAAGGGGAGGAGGAGGGAGAGGATCGAGGATGAGGAGGTGGAGCGAGTCCGAAAGAGTGTCAAGGAGGAGGAGGAAGAGGAGGAGGAGAAGCTGGCGCAAAGTGAAAACATGTTGGGCGCCGCTCTTCCTCTGTGGACTTCTGGGTGGAGCCCCGCCGCCACAGCAAAGTTCCCTTCGAGATCCTGGCCAGAACGCGCCCCTGGAACAGGGGCCTCCCAGCTGGGGCCACGGCACAAGGGGTCGACAGGTCGGGATGCATCGGCGGTGGCGGGATGGAAAAGGACGGGCTCCAATCGCGCCGCACCGCCGGTGCATCCGGCGAGGCTCTGGCCCAATTGGGAAGGCCCGACAACGATGGGTCTGGGTCGACACTGATGGGGGGCCCGAACCCAGGGAGACGCCAAGAAATTGCGCCGCGGGTCTCTGGTAATCGCCAGCGGCCGCGGACCGTGCTGTCGTGCCATGCGTGGCCGTCAAGAGACGGCCTGGGATGAACAGCCAGCATCGGGAAGGGGTCGAGGCTTCCTCACAAGAAGCGTGACGAGCCCATGCATCTACGGCAACTTCGCGTCGTGGCGACTTCTGCGGTGGTTTCACATCACGTAGATCCATTCAAACCTTGAACGATCGCGGCTTCCCGATCGCGCGAGTCCATTCGACATTGGCCGATTCTGGGCCACTGGCGGCATTCCACCTTGAACGCCCGCGCTAAGATCGCCACTGCGTCGACACGAACCGAACCTACCGTACGGGGTAGAATGCTGAGGAGGATGGACGAGGATGAGGGTGTGCCAAGACTCGGGAACATAATCGCTGTCACCAACCGTCTCCGACTTCCGACGCGCCCGTGAATGAACAATTCCCGAACTCGACGACCACGCGGGCACCGGCGTGGGAGGAACCCGTTCCTTTCCACATCTCTCGCGGGGGGGAGGGGGCCAGCTGTTGCATGCCTGCTGTCATGTGTCATTCTAATCCCACCAGCCATTTGGGTTGAGGTGGCCGAGCGGTACCTTTCATTCCTTTCGAAAACAACATTCCCTTCGGAGAGGTTTGCCACCCTGCCCTTCCCTGAGGTTTTTGTTATTTTGGGGGGGTCGCATGGCGTCAGTGTGTCCAAAGTGGCCCACGATAGCCGACGATGGTTCAAGCTCGCTTCCGACGTACCTCCAGGAGGCCCGATGAGGGCCACAAGACGGTTCCAAAAGCTCTCGGAGCCTCCTCAGGTCTCCCAAGAAACCATAATCCTTGAAACGCCGATGGACAATCAATGACTTCTGCTTTTCAACCTTTTCGCATCCGATGAGCTTGGAAGCCTCAAGATGGCCCCAAGATGGCCCACGAGAGGCCCAAGAGGGGCCCAAGGGGCCCCCAGACGGACCCAAGAGCACCCAAGAACGCCCCAAAAGGGGCCAAAGGACGCCGCAAAAGACGATTCTGATGGTCCAGAAAATGGTTTGGGGGGAAGAAACGTTACGACCCCCCCCCGTTAATCGATAGCCTCCACGATGGACTCAAGAGGCCCTCCAAGGCCCCCGAGAGAGCACCAAGAGATCTCCACGAGGGCCCCAACAGGGCCCCTAACACAACCCCAAGGAGGGCCCCAAGAGCGCCCAAAAGCGCCCCACGAGGACCCCACGCGGTGAACCTCCTCCTCCTCCTTCGTCCTCTGTCCATCCTGTTTACTATATGTGTTTTTGGTTTTCTTGTTCCCGTCAACCCTCATGGGCCGCATTTCGAAATACGCATGTGGGAATCATTTTCGGTCGCAGCCGCAAGCGAAAGCGCAGGCGGCGTCAAAGGTCGACCCGGGCTGCGAGCGGAGCCTCATTACCCAGCGAGCGCACTCACGGCTGCCGAGGCTGCCGCCGAGGGAGGCTGAGTGGCGCCAGGGGCTGCAGGCTGGCTGCAAAAGCTGCCAGGAGGTCCTGGCGGCCAGCGTGCAGGCATCCCAGAGGCGAGACCACCGGGAAGAGGACGAATTGTACCTTGTCGCGCTGGGCGCACGAGGTAGACGTGCCACCGAACGTGGCAAAGCGCGGAGCTGCGCAAGCAGTCCAGCGTACTTGCTGTATGTCGACGGGGACAAACTCACATGGCTGACCAAGAAGACCGAAAACACTCCTGAGCAATCCACGCAAGGGCGCGTCCCACCATGCTGGCGGCAGCTGCAAACACGGCCAGGCTGTGGCGGTGTCTGGGGGCCAAAGGCCAGGGAAACGCAAGCATTCTAGCCAGAGCTGGTCAACGTGCAAGTCGCCCAAACGCCAGGGTGCCCCACCTGGCTCAACAGGGCCAGAATGAAAACCACCGGGCGCAAGAGACAGAGGGGGGCGGCGCAGCGGGCAGCTGAAGGCTGAGGTGACCTCCGGCCAGGGGCCCGCGGCGCGTCGTGCGAGTCAAAAAACGTCACGAAGAGGAGGCGAGTTCACCAAAGAAACCACGCCAGGCTGTGGCCAGGTCCGAGCGAAGGCCAAAATGAAAACACACAACGGCTGGGGCCGCGCGGCACGCCGCGCTCCGCCCCAGTAGGGGTCATCGTGCCCGGTGTTGATAGCGCCGTGGAGCCTGATCCCTATGGGCGGGGGGCAAAGCCAGGCGCAGCATCGGGGCCGCTACTGGTCGCCACGTGGCCCGCAGTCGAGGGGGCTGGGTCAAGCTGCGGCCGGGCGCGGGGAAGGCCAGGGCGTGCGCAACCACAGCGAGCGGCGAGGCCGTGCGACGGCGCGCTGCGCTCCGCCTCAGCAAGGGCATCGTGCCAGGCATTGACAACGCAACGCCAAGAGCCTGATCCTCAACGGCGATTGGCGAGCCAGGCGCTGTGCTGCGACCGAAACCGGTCGCAAGGGGGGGAGAGGAGGGGGGGGGGGCACCGCCAGGGAAGCAAGCGGCTAACGGCCACGCAGCCACTGGGCATGAAGGGGAGGGAATCAAGAAAAGAGAAGCGCTGAACGCGAAGCCAGGAAATGGGGTGGCACTGAAGTGGCTAACGGCCGCACTTTCTGGCGTCTGGTCGTTCCCCGACGCGTTTAGCGACCGGCGAGGGAGATCGCGACCACTTGGATCTCTTGCCGTCGCGGTCAGCACCGTCGCTGTTCCGCCTGCCTCTCTTGCCTCCGCCATGCCAGTCATGGTAGCGCCAGGGCTGTCCCGCGCCGTGCCAGGACCATCCCTCCCATGAATCCCAGGACTGGCGCTGGGAGCTGGAGCTCCACTCCTTTGACTGGTGGGAGCCCTGCCCCCTGATGTGCCTTTCGCGCGTGGCCTGCCAGTCGACTTTTCGTTCCAGCTGCGGGCCCATCTGGTAGGCGTCGTAGCCAGATCTGCGCCGGGCGCCCAGGAGGCCCTCGCGCGCGGCCTCGTCGTTCAGGCAGGGGTTGCTCGCGGGCGCCCCTTTGGCGCGGTTGGGGAACTTCTGCGTGCAGCCGTGCCGGATCCCGTTGAACGTGCCTCCCAAGACCTTCTGGAGGCGCGCGATCTTGTCGGCTGGGGGCTCACCGTGGGTCCAGGTTGACGCTGCCCAGGTGCTCGCGATACCTGCTCCCGCTTGTAACTGGCTCGCGGAGATGGTCGAAGGCCTTCCGCGCGCGGCTGCTGCGAGCGGGGGGTCGAGGGGCGCCTGCTGCCGTCGGAACCAGGGGGCGCTGCGCGCCTGTCCACGGCCCGGGCGCTGGGCACGCGCCTATCTCTGAAGGCGTTGCTTCGCCGCGGTGGCAGCGGATCGCCTCTGGAGCTGGCGGGCGCCGCGGCGCCTGCAGCTGCGGGCGCAAGGGGCATGTGCGTCCGGAAAGCACCAAGAGGATCGTCACCCGGGCTTGGGCTCGCTTCTGGGGCGCCCTCGCTTTTGTCCTCGCGGCTGTACTCGTGCGAGGGCGAGGGCGAGCTGTCACGCTGCTGGGGGCCCTCGCCCGCGTCTGCGCGCTCGCTCAGCGACTCTGCTGGGGATGCCCGTCGCGGGCCGCCGAAATCCACGGAGTGGTCCGTCCCTGTCCGTGGGGGCGCCGCTGACGCCGTCATGTGCCTCGTCGTCGCGCGAGGCAGCTGGTGGGTCGAGCTCCTCCACTTCGCCCCCGACCTCCTCGTCGACCTTGTGGTCTTCTTGCTCGCCGCGGGGTGCGCCGCGCCCATCCCTGGGCCTCCCGGGGCCAGGTCAACTTGACCAGGAGGCCACGCTGGGTCATCCCTGCCAGGGTGGTGGCCCGCGCGCCGGCCCCAGGGTGACTCGCTAGCCTCTGGCTTGGGGCCGAGCCATGTCCCCGCGTGTGGGAATGCGCGAAGCGTGAAGAATATGGCGCACCCTGGAACGCGCTTTTTACATGCAGTCGCACCAGAACGAAGGCACAGCATGCCGAGCGGTACACGCGGCAAGCGGTGGCCTCCAATGCGACAAATCATGCACGCTTGCAGCAGGTGGCAACTCGGCCAGCAGCGCGTTGGCAAACCGATCGCTGTTGGGGAGGTGGGCCTGTCGCGCAGGATGCGGGAACGTTAAGCCATTGGCTATGTTGCGCGGGCATGCCGTCAACAACAACATTGCGCACCCAGGCTTCAGATAATTATTGCGCCTTGAGTGGTCAGGTTACCTGGAAGCTGCGAATATGCACGGCTGGAGGGTGACTGTAAAAGTGCACGATTGGCACGTGACCAACGACGATTTCAATGAAACGCGTTTTGTGCAATGTTCGCGATGTCCCAGCGGGGCATCGCGAGACATCGCAGGTCAACAAGGACAGGTGCACAACCGCTGTCACTACAATCGCCGACGCCAGGGCTGACCGCGCGGAACTGCTGCGCACAGGCCCGCTATGCACGATGATTTTCCTTGGGCGGATTTGCGAGCGACGCTCCTCCCAGGCCCGCTTTACACGATTACCCTATGTACGTGGCCCCCCACGCCAGGC